GTCTATGTTGGGTAGGTTGAAGTCCCCTGCTAGTATAAAATTTCCCCTGAAGTTTGTATAATTATCTAGCTTATCACTAAGAAGTGGAATGAGGTTTAATGGGGAATTTGGTGGCCTGTAGAATGCGCAAATTACATATGATACACCGTGTACAACGACCTTACACAACAAAGATTCCAAGTCAGACATGTCACACAGTTGTTTACAAGATATCTCCTGTCGGAAAAATATTGCCACTCCACCTCCTCTTGAGGATCTGTCCTTTCTCAACACGTTGTAATCAGGGGGGCATATTTCCGAATTTAATATATTAGCATTTAACCATGTTTCCGTGACTATCATTACATCAGGAGAATGCACCAGTAGTATCTGCTCTATATCCTCGACTTTGTTAGCTACACTTCTAGCATTTAAATTAATCAATTTGAACTCGCGACATTTCTTTCTCTGACGTCAATTTCTGTCATCCCCCGGTGTCCCTGTAATCTTCACCCTGCGCATCTGATCCATATCCCAAATATATGTTTCGTTATTAATGACCAGCTTATCGTACCGTAAAGACACCTTGTCCTCAGGTCTCCTCGAATCCTTCACCGTCATCCACAGCTGTTTTCTGATCATTTGTACCCTTTTGGAAAAATCATCTGATATAGAAATTGAAGTTCCCTTTAGCTTCCGCGCGTTTTTCAGAATATCAAGCTTCTGATTGAAATCATACAGCCTTAGGATGACAGGGCGGGATTTCTTAGGTGCTTTCCTACCAAGTCTGTGAATCCGTTCCACACTGGTCGCTGTGACTCCCAGCTTATCTTCAAATATTTCCTTTAATACAGATTCTTTAAGTGATACCTCAGTTTCACCCTCTCGCTCATGTACACCGTAGACGATTATATTGTTTCTCCTGCTGCGGTTTTCTAAATCGTCAACCTTATCTGTCAGCCTTCCTATTTGCTGTTTCAACTCCTTAACTTCAGTGGTACATTTTTCCATTTTTTCTGCACTTTTCGAAAATGCCTCCATTTTTCCTTCAATTGCAACCAACCGTTTACCAGTATCAGATATGTGCCTACCTAGAGCTTCTTTGATTGATGCGAGATCACGTGTGGATTGTTCTTGATTAGCTAGGATTTCTCTCAGCTGTTCCGAAACCGTTGGTCCCGGATTCGACTCTACGTCTCCACTCAGCAACAACACCATGAGGCAAAAAGAATCAAAACACTCTGCGACCGAATGACACAACACCTGCGGGCAAGGCAGCACCACCAAAAACACACAATCGCTCTTAAATGATGATACATTTCTACGTACCTGCACGATAAAAACGAAGAGGTTCATTCGTGGCTGCATCGCTCGGGTGCTGCCGTGCCCACTGAAGCGCATATCGAGGGGGGCGTTGTTCCAGAATCTCGCTGATACCGATGACCATTCGGCGTATGTCGGTGACATAGGGTTTAGTTCAAAAAACACAGTGTTGTTCTTGTTGGTGGTTTCCGCGTCGCCTGATACGCCGTTGCTGTAGTGACCGCGACGAGTCGTCTCTGCATCCAAGCAGGGGTCCATTACGGGCCATTCGATGGTCCCTCTTCCATCGCGGTGGATGGTGCTGGCGTGAAAAGCAAGAGCCTGCACGATAAAAACGAAGAGGTTCATTCGTGGCTGCATCGCTCGGGTGCTGCCGTGCCCACTGAAGCGCATATCGAGGGGGGCGTTGTTCCAGAATCTCGCTGATACCGATGACCATTCGGCGTATGTCGGTGACATAGGGTTTAGTTCAAAAAACACAGTGTTGTTCTTGTTGGTGGTTTCCGCGTCGCCTGATACGCCGTTGCTGTAGTGACCGCGACGAGTCGTCTCTGCATCCAAGCAGGGGTCCATTACGGGCCATTCGATGGTCCCTCTTCCATCGCGGTGGATGGTGCTGGCGTGAAAAGCAAGAGCCTGCACGATAAAAACGAAGAGGTTCATTCGTGGCTGCATCGCTCGGGTGCTGCCGTGCCCACTGAAGCGCATATCGAGGGGGGCGTTGTTCCAGAATCTCGCTGATACCGATGACCATTCGGCGTATGTCGGTGACATAGGGTTTAGTTCAAAAAACACAGTGTTGTTCTTGTTGGTGGTTTCCGCGTCGCCTGATACGCCGTTGCTGTAGTGACCGCGACGAGTCGTCTCTGCATCCAAGCAGGGGTCCATTACGGGCCATTCGATGGTCCCTCTTCCATCGCGGTGGATGGTGCTGGCGTGAAAAGCAAGAGCCTGCACGATAAAAACGAAGAGGTTCATTCGTGGCTGCATCGCTCGGGTGCTGCCGTGCCCACGGCAGCACCCGAGCGGATTGGGGGGGGGGGGGGGTGCTACGATTTTAAAATTAAAAGAATTTGCATCGCGTCATCTTTATGTTGCTTATCGTGTCCCGGAGGATAGGGAAAACATCGCATTCATTAAAAAAATGCCGCGATTAAGCTGCATAATCGCAAGGCAAAAGGCGAGCTTTTCCCCACCTGCAGCCGCCAGTGGCAGCCGAAGCAACTACGGCGAAAAGCTTACGTGACCTCGCTCGGCTCTAAGCTGCAGCGTAACGCCCGCTAATGTCAGCAGAGAGAGGGAGAGGAAGTGTCCTCCGAGAGAGCACACGAGAAGCTACACGGCACCCTGAATTACGTCACTAGGAGGGGAACCAGGTGTGACCCTGAAGACTGGGAGTGAGTTGAGGGGTGCCAGTCAATATATATCTTTTTTTTTACTCAACAACTAGGGCACGCAGGCGAAATTGGTTTTGTGTTCTTTACTTCAGAAATGTCAGGGGGCAACTTCCACAAATTTTTGACCGAAGCCCGCAGATCGCTGCTTTAAAGCGCAGCCGACGCTACGAGCCAATGGTACCGACCGAACGGCGTCGAATCGCGACATCATGGTATTCGTCCATCTTCCTGTACGTGTTCTTTCACCGGCTAGACCAATCAAATGCAGCGAATGTCCCGTGATTCGCGCTTTCAGTATGTGTGATCTTGGCTGTATGTGTTAAAGCCCTCGACTGTTTTCACCTAAGATGAAACAAACCGTACGGCGAGTAGAGATGTAGAGACGCTGTGAAATACGTATTTGTACATGTTGAAAAACAGCGCGACTGGGACGAGGACACACAGAGACGAAGTCTCTGTGTGTCCTCGTCTCAGTCGCGCTCTTTTTCAACATGAACTCTCACCAACTCGCCCAGTTATCGATCCGTATTTGTAACTTTTACAGCGAAGCTGTTTACGGCTAGGGTTCCGTGGATTTTTCGTGTGCGTCAACAAAAACTCAGGTCCCGAATTTGATGCAAAATCGCTTCATTCTATGCAAAAGCGTATAACGTTTCATCACATGGATATGCATTTTCAGCAGATTAGTTATCAATAGGCACCATTTTCAAGCCAGCAGACTCTCAGGGAGATAGTAAAGGTTTCTCAAAGATGTACCGCTGTGCGACCAGCGTCGGCCATGTCTACGCTCGCACCACCCTCTTTGTCGTCGTTGCAAGTGCTTGCGAGTATAGTTTTCTTTCCTTCCGCTCTCCCGAGGTGGCGGTCCCGTCGCACGTGTCTACAAACAGTCCGCCGGATGGAGGTCCCGTCGCGCGTGTCTAGTTTCCTCCGGCTCTTCGGGGCGGGTTTGGGACGTGTTCTGACCAGCTTCGCTGGACATCCACCTTCAGAGTAAAATGGCTAATGATTTTTCCTTTCCTCCCCTTTCTCTTTGAATAGCAGGGTCGACCGACAATAAAAAAAGTTTTATTTTATGCTTTGCTTAATTCCATTCCTATAGCAGCGAACGACGCAAGCCAGCGGAGCCAGTTCAATGCCGTGCGAGGTGTCAGATGACCTTCCAGGGGACGCTGTGACTCGCGTGGTCACGTGATCCGTTGGATGTGGAGCATCCTAAGGTGAGACAAAGTATAGTGAACTGTAAAACTGGAATGCTTGCGACTAATCACTGATGTAAGCAGTCGCTGAAAAATACTAATCCTCGAGAACGTTGAAGAGACTATGCTCAAAAGCTCAGTATAAGAAAAAAAAAAAGTTTAGGCAGTTTTTTTAGGAGCAACAATGGTAGCTCATGTGAAGGATCATCCCCGTTCAGTACAAATTACTAATAATAATGTTTGATTTTTGTACGACATTGGCACGGAAAGCGCCATGAAATCATCCCACGGCATCTTACAAGGAGACAATGCTACGCTCTAGAACCACGTCATAACTCCAGAGAAGCCTGCCCACCAAGAGTACTTACATAAGTCGATATGTATGGCCACAAGGAAACAAATGATGCATCCAGTGTGTGCATGCCAAAGTTGCGAGATTTGAAAGTAGAAGTGAAGCAAGTTGTGAGCCCAGCAGTCAGCTTAACTGTTGGTATCGAGTGCCTGTTAAAGGCTGTATGTACCATGTTCTAGTTTTTGGCTGTCAGCATGTTTAAAATACTACCATGTTACCTTCGACACCCATTATGTGTTTCTTTAGCATTTAATTTCAATTACTTTGCATTTCAGCTTTACGTGTTAATTCATGACGAACCACAGCTAGACCGACAACTGCCAAAAATTCTAAGTGGTTTAATAGTGCCGGTTTCAGCAATTCAACAACTGCTAAACCGATTTCTTAAGTCACTGGTGTAATCCAGGGGATGCCAGAACAGAACAGGATCACGAGGTATCCATTACCTAGGAATGAAGAGTTAAGATCCGAGTGGCAACAAACTGCGGTCTTCTGAACAGATGTTTTCTTCCAACGAAACTTTTAGGGGAAAGTGAAACTATTGCTACGAGGCAGTCGCAACAAGACAGACGAAGGTCAGTTGCACGTTTTGTGCAGGGATAATGCTGCAACTTGTCCTGGGTCCATGCATGGGAATGTACTGACAAGTGCGCAGTTAGGCCGCCAGGAACTGCACGGAACAAAGACCCACCATGTGAACCGCAACACTTGCATTCCAGGAAGAGCAGTAACGAGCCGGAGACAAACATAGCACATTTCTGTAAATCCATCAATTTATTGTTTAGACAACTATGAAAATTCTGTACAAAAATGTTCAGCAGTGGTACAAGATAGACATCACCGCCTAAAACTGCGCAGCTCTCTGGACATGTTTCGACAAGTGCCCAGGAGGGAGCCGAGATGACTAACGCAGACACACAGGTTCTGGTATACTCCATGCTGACTGTTTGGTCTCAATGCAGCACACTTAAATTAAACTTGCACATACAAAAAAAAAATCTGGCTTGCTCGTTTTTATTTTTTGCTGTTGCACCCGCAGTGACAAATGTGCAGCAATGACACTCTTCGCTCGCGATGCAACTCTAGCTGGCTGACAAGAACAGAGGACAAAAATGTGTTGCGTTATGCAATTACAACAAATTAACCCCAAGTCGAGAAGTTTAAAGTTTGCACCGACATTTTTGACGTAAACACCGCAAATTGGGGAAGAAACTGCAGATACCAATGTGCAGCACTCTTTAGGACACCACCACAAATCGAAAGCAGTTGTCTAGCATAGAGGAAAGAAGACCAAGCAAAGCTAAAAATGAAAATATCCTCCAGGTATACCATTTGTTCTAAACAAACGCTCAAACGTTTTGTAAGGAGGACTATTCATGTCGGGCTATCTGCAACACAAAAAACCTCAAATCCAAATGCCTAGTAAAAAAAAAGAAAAGAAAGTCACATGGTTAAAACCCAACAGTAGTACCGCAAGAGCGCAACACCATTAAAAAGAATGAGCTTCGGCCGAGGACTACACCAGTAAGGAAGACTTACAGAACCGCTACGACATCCACTTGGGCACACACAAGGTCCAGTAAAAGAATACTACTCTTTGGAAAAAAAATGTTCCCACAAGCTTAGTTTTCGTCTAGTTTTTTCTCTTCGGAAGTGTACAGTATTTACAGGTCCTTTTGTTTCTTCCCCCCGTCGAAAAAAAGTGGCTGTTAACTAAGGACAGACACCAGGCACGGCACAAAACAAAACCCAAAAGCAGTTTTCATCAAGGCAGGTGCGTGAAGTGCGCAGCCGACGGGCCGAAGTCCCACAAGTCCGCCGCTCCGGCCTTTTGGCGCGACAAACGCGACGGAAACCGAGGTACGCTATTTACATGGAGACAAGGGGGCGCGGCATGTGTGACCTCTAGAACACTAGGACACAAGCGGAGTAGTAGTAGTAGTACAAAGAATGCAAGTCGGACAGCCTCCCCCACGAGGGAAGAAACGCGAGTCGAACCGCGAATCTCTGGACGCGGTGGAACGCCCAAAGCACCGCCGGTTTGATCCAAAATAAACCCCACACGAAACTTTTCCCCATTTCTTCGGCTGTTAAACGTGCACGGAGAACACGCGTACGCACACACAGTCTCGCAACATGCTTGCTCGTGTATAGTATGTATATGTGTATAATATATAAAAATAAAAAAAAACAAGCCATACAAAAAGTTGTATGCCTTCGCACAAGGTGAAAGGGAGGGAACATTTAGGGAAAAAATAGACCTCCAACGAAGGCGAGGAGAAACCTCCCAAGACTATGCTCGGCAGTTTCCGAGCCCCAAAATGGCAGCACGGTGGTCGACATGGTTCAATTAAATAAAGGGGCTAGGATAAGAGGGTGGGGGACACGGGGTGTGGAGGATTACTTTGCACGTGGTGATGGCACGTGACTAAACCCAGACGCCGGCTCCTGGGAGTGAACGAGGTCTGCGGGCGTGCACGCACGTCGCGACCGCTTAAGTTTTCTTTTTTTTGTCCACACAGATCCCGGCAGGCACCTAAAGAGATATGAACACGCGCTCACCCACTTGGGTCGAAGACTCGAAGAAAAGTGTGTGGGGGGGTCCACGGTAAAACGCGGAGCACTCGAGCCTTCGGAAGTAGATTGCGCACGCTACTAGTAGTTACAAAGGAGACTACAGGTATCCTAAAACCGGAATGGGGGAGGGTTCTACAAAATGAAGCACGGTGAGTTGGGACAGTGTCCCGAAGCCGAGGTAGGAACGCAACTAAGGTCGAGACCTGAACTCTGAAGCAACGAAAGCCGATGGAATGTGCAAACAGAACTAAATGCTGGGACGCTACTGTTCTAGAAGGCGAGGAGAACCCCGTTAAATGCTGGGGAGGGCACACACCACCCCTCTGCCATCATCTCCGGAGTTTCGATAAAAGAGGGAGAAAACTGGGCGGGGACAAGCTCGCGGGAAGGGCGTCCGATTCGCACAATATACAGAACGGCGTCGCATTCCTAAAAAGCAGAAATGGGGAGTCTGCATTCTCTCGGCCTCTGCCACACACGAGACAGAAAGCCATTTCACGTTTGCCTCGCAGTATTTCTCTCGCATCTACGCGCCAGTCTGGTGCCTTTGGGTCCCCGTCACGGTGAAAAACGAAGGGGGAAAAGAAGAGAGCAAACACCAACCTTAAAAAGGACACTTTCAGACATGTACAGAGGAAAGGCAATGGCACTGAGTTTCACAAAGCCGAGCTCGCTGAATGCGGCAGCCTAACGCCTGCTGGGAGGTCACGGATGATTACAACTCCCTGTCCGACTGCCTTTGGTTCCCTCGACGTAACGGAAGTGCGTCTAGCATTAAAAAAAAAAGAAAATGAAGCCTCGTTGCTAAAAGAAGGGCCAGTGTAAGCTTGGCTTATCAGACGTGGCTAGGAAATGCAACGCGGAGAGAAAAACAAACTCTTAACTCAATACTACAACGAGAACCTAGCAAAACGTCAGGTTAGAGCAAGAGACACAGAGCCTCTTGAACGGTTGGCAATAAAACATTACATTAAAACAAATTACTTTTGTTGCGCAACAAGCGAATTTTCCAAACAAACCAATTTGTTTGGAAATCTGGAAACCAATTTGTACAAGAAAAAAAAAATTGCCGAACACTTTAGGGCTGGACGTCCTTCAGAACTGCCGCCCAGCGAGAGTGGTGCCGCCACCATCACCATCCCAAGGGGGCATGCGTTTCTTCACTCCCTCAAGGGCGTCCCGAGACACCAGACCGCACCCCAGGCTGTGGCGCCTTGCGACTCTCTGCTTGCGTGCGTGTGTCACGTGGGGGGAGGCAGGGGTCGGCTCAGGCGTAGAACTCCTTGTTGCTGCTGCGCATGTATGAGTTGACCGTCGGCGACCGCTTGGGCTCGTCCAGGGCGTAACTTCCCTCATCCTTCTTGCGCATCCGGTAGACGATGAACATGACAAGCAGGATGGCACACAGCAGGCCCACCACGGCACCACCAATCACCGCTGCACGCAGACAAGGAAGAGATGTGAGGAACCGCATTACGCGGACAGCAAAATGAGCATTCACGACAGTCGCAAGTGCCTTGGAGATTGGTGCCATGTTAATTTAAATCTGTTCATATAACAAGATGTGGAGATATGGTTGGAGGCATAGCGTAGCTCAAATAAAAATAATGATTATTAAAGAAAGAAAAAACTGCAAAAGAATGGAGGATTGTAAGAAGCACCAAACACGGCGCCACTCACAAATCTCGCAGTACTACCTCAGCACTATTAGTCAGCGCTGTAAAGAGCACTCACTAACTTGCACTGTGCTAGTCATACAACAGTGCATCAGCGCTAGGGGATACCATAACCTCCCAAAGTTCAAGTTCGAAAGGTTCAAAATTTTCTAACCTCAAGGTTTGAATTACGAGTTCGAAGATATTGAATTTTTTAACAGATGGTTTGAACATATTTTAACATTTTGAATTTATTCAAGATTAAGGTTAGAAAAATTTGAATATTTCATGTTTATTCGAGGTGCAGGTTCAGAAAGTTTGATTTTAAGATGCAAGTCTGAATTTCACGGATGAAAATCGAATTCCGCAATTTCCCATCAACTTTTCGTGAATTCATCTAAAAAGATAGCAAAATGTGCTACAAACTTCACTAAAAACGTTGCCCAGACATAAACTTGCACCAGCTAACTCGCGCCCTCACCTTGTGTTCGTTAACACTCCTTCCTTCTCAGTCCTATGGTATACCATAGCACTGAGAAGGAAGGAGTAATACAGGTAGTACCGTCAGTACAGGGAGTATTCACTAGATGCCATATTTGTAAGCGCTGTTTAGAGCGCATGCTCGGAACGAGCTCACATCAATAGGCTGCCAAGACCGGCACTTTTGATGGTGCAGAATGTACGTTGCAAAAGAACTGTGGAAGCTCGCCATCAGCACGCACTGAGCATTAGCACACACAGCTATGGCCACCAGTGAATACTTTCTATACTCACGGTACTACCTGTATTACTAAATTTGTCGTAACTTATGAAACCAGCGTTGAACGAGTTAAACGATTCATCGAAAACCGGCGGTCTGAAACGGTGAGGCGGTCGGGTGGACAAACTTCCGACTTATTCGCGAACTAATAGCAATCCGATCAAACGTCGCCTAAATGCAACCAAGCTGAATTAGGGCACCACCGGCGGATTACAGTTGATCAGGTCACGACCAGTCATTGTCAGGCTAACCATATTGCCGCTGCATGGAACTTTTGTTTGACGAATGGAGATATTGGCCGCTCTAAAATGCAGACAGTTACTAATGATAACTAAGTAAGCGCCGACTAAGCGTTCACTGTAGCCCATCGGCGTCTCCCTCTGCACGCTCCTTTCCTTTAAGCGAGGAAATCGAGGAACTCTTGTTCAAAAACTACTAATGCTACGAAGGAAGCTCCCAGCGAAGCGCCCCAGTTGAATTTCAAGCCTGCAGAGCAGGGATCTCTTGGCGTACAGGTTACCTCGGGCAACCTACGGAGTGATACACGGGAGAGGCTCTGCACGGAAGTCGAAAGGAAAAAGGTGCTGGGTACGAGGCCACCCTAAAGCTATTATTCGAAGCTTTACAAGCCTGTCGTTCATAGCACGATCAGCTAACGGCAAGACTGAGTGCAATGTCAACTCCACTTCGCACATTGACATCTTCATTATTTATATTCGTTGCCTCGAACCTATGGGGGTGAACTGTGTTCGAACCTTGTGTAACTTTTTTGGAAGTTACAAGTTCAAACTTCTGAACTTGTCAAGTCCGAAAGTTAGAAAATCGTTGAATTATTTACGTAACAAGTTCGACGTTTCAAAACTTTGCGATCCTTTCGAACCTCAGGTTTGCGAAAAGTTTGCGGCATCTCTAATTAGCGCTGTCCATGGTGCTGATTTAGTGCTATGCCGTACGTGGAAGCCGACCTTTAGTTTCAGAATGTTTTCAGCACAGGATACGTTACAGGCCCGACTCCTCGCAGTTTCCTGTAAAGCATTTCCGTGTTACACACTTTTGTAACAAAGGAACATAGAACAAAAACCAACTGAAAACGAGTGTTGCGCTGGAATTCGGTTGGAACTTGTCCCCGCCAACAGAACACATGACCCAAATAAATGTTCACACCTGTACAATCTGCGTTGGCCCCCAGTGGGAGATGCAAAAAGGCCACCATGAGGCTGCCCCTTTATACAAGAGGTGTGGAACGAGCGTGCTCGTTTTTATGGTGGAAGAAAGCACAAGGAGAGTGGGAAGAGATAAAGCAAGTGTTTCGAAGGAAATGTGGAGATGAAAGAGTAAGGGAGGAACTGGGGGCTGCAACCGCAGCGAGACGAACACCTGGATAGACATGGCTCCAAACTTTCGGCATCTCCTACAAGAGGTGAACACGGGGCACAAACTGGACACGAGTGCTGAGTCAGCATTCGGCTGGGATCCGTAGTCAATAGGATCTTTCCTGACCGCGCCGGTAAGGCATCTATTGCCAGTGATCGATGGGCACAGAGGTCTATTTCAGAACTCCCGCAGAGCTCCCACGCTTGTTGCACTGTCTTGTAGGTCGTCTGAAGACTATGGTCTTGGTTTCCGTGTTTCCTTCCCTTTTCGCATGGCAGCAATTTTTGAGCAGAGCGCAAGGTCCACGGCACGTTGCGGTCGACAACCGTGGCCAATTCAATGGGTCCGGTGCGCAGTCACAATCGTAGCAATTCTTGTGAATTCTTGGTAAACTTATTGATTTTCAAATAGCGGCAGTGGGTCTGATAATGAAGCCAGATTATCCTTTAGTTCTGGTGACCCATGCATCACCACATTAAGAAGATGCTTAGCGCGATGGCACATCAGTCCTGAGGGCCAACCAGACTTTTGGTAGCTCACTTTTTTTTGCACCAGAAGTCTAGTTTTGGCAAAGCTTTTTGTTGTGAAAAGTTGTCAACATTTTGTACAATACCTTTTTTTTTCTTAGCACCTTTTTTATTTCGATTTATAGCCGTAAACATAAGCAGCATAGACGAATGTTTAGGAAAAGAAATCTTGTTCGACAAATTTAATACTGCTTTAGAGTTAGTTCGCTTTGACGTCAGCATCATTCAAAAGCCCATTTATTTACCTTCATTTCTCTGTACGACATATTACTGTAAACCCAACAGTTCCCCAGAAAAGATAAAAAGTAACAAAAAGCCACACAAAACTGGCATTTTTTCCGTCACCAGGAAAAAGTTCAGGGGCATCCACACGGGACGCAATTTTGTGCTGCATTCGAGAAAAAAAATAAAGCTAGATTTTAAAAATATTTACGTCGGCGAGAGCACAGATCTCAGTGAGGTCGTCAACACGCATGCTGCCGGGCATGAAAGAGTATGGCTATCTTGTGACATGGAGTCTTCATACACGGGAGGGGGGGGGGGGGGGGGGGGGGCGGGACGCGCGTTTTCGTCATCATCTCCACTGTTTTTGGAAGGGAAAGATAACGGCAGGGTGAGGCTTCGACTGACAGCTAGCCAGCCAGCAAAGGGGGGTGATGGGTCAAGTGTTGGGGCCTGTGTCATGAGCTTCTCCCACGAATGCAAGCAGACAGACGGTCGCTCTACCCTCAAACAAGATCTGTTCCAAAACTGAACGCAAGCAGAGGAGACCTACACACCTCTGCAAGTCACATATGACACAGCATTCAGGCACTGAACATCGGCAGTTCCGGGGTATACTCTGTGTCATCAAGAATCCTGAAAAGACTTCATAACCCACAGCAGGAGTTCCAGGAACAGCTCAATAAAGATGTTGGCAAACCACTGCACATTGATGCCGGATTTGCCAAGAACATAGACGTGCCACGACAGCAATACCAACACCCGACTGGTCATCCGATACGACGCTGGGAGACCTTTCAGATCGATATCACAGGACAAACTGAAGGAGTATTGTGCGCCATCGTTCTCGATGGATACTATAGGTTGTCGGAAGCGAAGCCGACGCACACCACGACATCCACAAGTGTCACCGAACTTTTATGCTTTGTATCTGCGACCTTTGGTATACCGAAAATGCCTCCTGTGGCAATGTGCCGAATTCGGCACACCGGAAATAGTTTTTTCCAACAATGCGGAAAATTTCGTTCCAAATGGAGCAGTTTTAGAAAAAAGAAAAGGGCATCAAAAGTCGCACCATACCAGACGATGGTCTCGTGCTCCGCGGGGGAAACGCCCATCAGAGCAACGTATGGCAGACGACCACCCAGGCAGCACGAATTTTGGCCAAGCAATGGCCAATGCCTGGCGATGGTCTTTTGGCCAGTGGCCAGAGAGTGGCCATCCATTGGCCAATGCTTGGCCGATGGCTGGCCAACTCTGTGCTGCTTGGACAGCCACATCTTGCGAGGTTACGTTTAACACGAACGAGGACCAAGTAGTTCCAACAGACTATTCGAAAGGACAATCCGTGCACAGGAAGAATCCAAGCGGATGCCTTGCCTGGGTTCCAGCAGTAAATTTGAAGCCGACGGGAGTTTGATCGGTCTAGACAAGGACGAACAATGAACAACACGAGCGGAGAAGCCAAGAAACGGAAGAAGAAACATTTGCCTTCATAATGTACCCAAATGCCGAGACTGCCGATAAACCGCAGGTTTTAAAACAAGTCCCCTTTTTCGGAAATCGCCGGTTTGAGGCATCGGGCAGAAAACGCGCTTGCACACTGAGAGCTCTGGCACGAGTCAATTGACTATTTGCAGACTGTAGCGTGCCATGTATCAAACGGTGCCAAAAACTCTGGTTCGAGGGGGCAGAAAAGTTGCAAAACGAGGCTCGATGGAAGCTTACAAAATCTACGTACCTGCAATAAAATGCCTGCAGGTCCAGCAGTGCTCTTTCAGCTGCCATGGCGAGCTGGCCAACTTTTTTCTCTTCATGGCAGCTATTCAAGCATCTAGTTTCACGAGACATACTTACTGGCATTATGAGAAACAAGGAGACTCACGACGCTAATTCTGT